AGTTCAGTTCTTTCCCTGGGTCTGCACTGGGGAATCGTATCCTTCTTGCTCAATCTCCTCAGATCTATTTTTGGCCTTGACAGACCTGATGTGGGGGAGCGTGCGGGTGTTCCCTTTTAATTTGGGGTCTGAAGCCGTCTGAGGCCTGGACCGGCAATCATGAGTGCAGAACCATTTATGGAAACAGCTCTTGAAGAAAGTCGGTAATGAAGACTGACTAAAAATACCTTAGAAAGGGAGCTTTGGCCTCCCCTGGGCAGCACTGAGATTCCCGGGTGGGAGGAAGCCCTTCAGATGCAGACTCGGCAGGTGGTCAGTTCTGCAGCTCTCGGTGGGCCTGCGCCAGCCATGGAGACCTGGGTCTTGTTTTAGAGCTGAAGGCAGGGGCGGGGAGGGAGGGCTTCCAGTGGAGACACACTGTGACGTGGAGGCCACCCCCAGACCGGCAGCATGGCCAACCCAAGGGGCTGTGGCTGCTGGGTGCTGAGCCGCTGTCCCGGGGACCTTGGGAAGAACCAGCAGACACATCCCCTCTCTGGGCCCCCAGCACACAAGAGGCTGGATGGAAGTTCACTGAGAGCCTCCCGTCTCCACCCCACACTGTGCTGTCCTGCTCTCATTGTGCACCATCTAGAAGGGCCCGTGAACCCGAGATGGGGACCCTGGGACGGGGGAAAGGGGGAGGCCGGCAGGCTGATCTGTGTGGGGTCAGAGGAGGACGAGGGGCCTTGACAGCTGGACGGAGAGGGAAGTAGCCTTGGACGGGGTGGGATGGGGGCAACTCAGGAGGGAGCGCTTCGGGGAGGGTGTCCGGGGAGGGTGTTCACGGCCAGAAGGCCCAGGAGGCCACGAGGTTGGGCCGGGCCCACTCAGGGGGGCCTGGGACCAGAGCTTGGGCTCCCCCCGGGGGCCCTGTGGGGCTGGGGAAGGGCTTGAGGGCAGACAGGTCAGATTTTCTTTTCTTAACAGCCACTCTGGGTGGCTTACTTTTGGTCAGAAACAAGACAGATTTAGGTCTTCTGGGTGACTCTAAATTTTGTCCAGGGCACAAAAATAGCCAAAGTTTTTATTGGCGTAGGACTGGTAGGCTCAGGGTGAGGCATCTGGAGACCTGGCCCACGAATGGTGCAGGGCCGCAGACGCAGAATGTGGGTGGTGGTCATGGAGGCCAGAGGCCACAGCGTCCCACAGAGAGAGCCTTTCCCAAACATGGGACCTGGAGGTTGGTTTATCAGAGACCGAGGGAGAAGGCCTATCAACACATGTTGGTGATTCATGATTGTTTCTTATTCTGGAAGCCACATTAAGGTGAATCAGAAAGTAAATTCATTTGCTGGTTCTCCAGACGGAAGCTGGTCCAGTGTTTGATCATTCTTGGCAGCTGTTATAATTAGTAGAAGATAAACATTTAGAAGCGCCCAGGTGGTGCGCTGTTCCCTGTGCGCAGTAAACACTTGGTACGTGGCCTTTCACGCTTTTGCCAACGCATCTTTAGGACTGTTGTGTTAAAGGGTAAATTCGTATGTAATTTTGCCCGGGTACTGCAAAAGGATATTGTCAAATTCCTCTCCAATGCATTCCTTTTTTTTTTTTCTTTTTTTAATGTTTATTTATTTTTGAGGTAGAGTGAGCAAGCAGGGACGGGCAGAGAGAGAATCCCAAGCAGCCAGCACAGAGCCTGATACGGGGCTTGAACCTACGAACCATGAGATCATGACCTGAGCTGAAATCAAAAGCCAGATGCTTAACCAACTGAGCCACCCAGGCAGGCACCTCTATCCAATGCATTCCTACCAGCAACGGTGAGAATATTCATGTCTGCTCTCACCTATCTCTCAAGGCTGTACCAGTCACCCTAGGAAACATACTCTCACCCCGTACCCGTTACGTTTGAGCCCATAACCCTCTATATTTCACTCGCAGTGTAAATAGCATCCCCTATCTTACTTGTTCTGTTGTTGTTCATATTGCGTCTTCCCCATTAGACCATAAACACCGTCAGCACAGAGACCTGACTTACCTGTCTTATTCACTGTATTCCCAGTGCTCAGAAGAGTCTTACATCTAGTAAGAACTTAATAAATTTGTTTATAAATTGAACTTGATAAACTAATGAAAACTAAATGAGCAAATGAGTACATTTATGTAGTAAAGATCACTCTAGTTCTCCCTTCCCTCTCCTCCTCATTGCTTTGAAATTTCTGACATGGCCTCCTGAGGATACCACATCTTGACACAATGTAGGGAGATTGCAGGTCAGGCTTCTCTAGAACTCCAGTCAACTGGCCACCCCTCCCAGTCCATTGCCTGACTGTTCATAAAGCCCTTTCACGGGCCTGTGAGGAAAGCTGGTAGTACCCTTGTTCCCAGTTCACAGAGGAGATGAGGCCAAGTGCGCACCTGGTTGGTTCAGGGCCAGGCCTGCAGCGAATGTCCTGACCACTGGGCAGAGCTCCCTGTGCTGTCCTAAGCTGCCTCTTTGGCTTGTTCTGCACTGTTAGCAAGGGGGTTTAGAGGTGCCAGAAAATGCTTTCCCAGAGCACCAGCTTTTGGAAAATCTCTCTCCTGACTCGAAGCAACAGCCAGGGAGAAAGGGGCAAATCCATAGGTTATCTCTCCCCATCCTCCCACTGACTGTCAGATGAAGGAGTATTCTTTACCCAGTTCCACGCTGCAGGACATATCACTAATTTTCTGACAAAAGGCACTACTTTCCTAAAAACTTCCCTTCTAATGCTTGCCTCCAACAGCCAGCGGGAAGGGGGGGCTTCCTGTGCAGAGCTACTGGGGGCTTCATCAAGCTCACAAACCCGCAGGTGGGAGCTGGGAACTGGGGTCAGTGCAAGTGCACGAGGCGCTCCTGACCCAGTGCACCTGCGTGCCCCCCCCCGCCCCCCCCAGGTCAGCACGGGAGGGAGGCCCAGGGCGTGGTGCTCCTGAGGAGCTGGCCAGTTTGGGGTTGTGCCCCAGGTCCCCAGACGCATCATGGAATCACCGTCGGGCTTGCACACAGACATTCCCAGCGGCCCCGGGACCCGCCCATCAGCTGCCACGGGGCCTTGGGAACAGAAACATTTATGACGCTCTGAGAGGACACAGGTGAAGGGTGTGACTGAGCCGCCCTCATTCACTCTCCGTGCCGCACCCGTGACAGCCAGCAGCCTAGACTTATGTCATCCTGCACGTCCGGGACTCGTACACAGCCACATACCAGGGGCAGCCTGTGAGGTCCCTGAATCCACGGAAATGGTCACCAAAGCTGTGCGTGCGCTTGCGAGTGTGTGTGTGTCTGTAGGGAGGAGGGGACACGTGTGTCTATATTCTTGGAGTGCACCGCTCGGTGAGGGCCCAGAACCCTGCCCTCCGTGCTCTCTGCCTGAGGCGGGGGTACCCGCATCCCACCCTGGGTCACGCTGCCTCCTCAGCAGCCTGGGCCCGCGTGGGCATCTGCCACGTGGCCAGCACCCTGTCGGAGGATGGACCTTCTATTTCTCCTCCTCCTCAACATGGGGGTGAGAAGCCGTGTCCTCCTGTCCAAACATGTGCGTCCACTGGCCCCGCCCCGCCCAGCTGTTTGTTCTTCACCAGACCAGGTCCCCACTGTGAGGACAGGAAGTGCTCCCCACATCCGCCTCCGTCACCGGCCTGGTGACTTGTGGTCACTGAGCCCAGTAGCCAGAGAGAGAGAGTTTTTAAAAGACTCACAGACATGTAATTAAAATCTCAGTGTTGGGTTCTGAGGACGGTGCTGGGCGGCTCCCACCCTCCTTTCTGGAAACACAGATTTGTGGTGTTTGAAAGTGAGTGACAGGAGGCTAAAGTAAGACGGTACTAAATATACTGTCCTGGGCACTTCCGGGCAGCGGGGGAGATGTGGGATTTACTCGCCACCCACCGCCTCCTGCCCAGACAGACCAGCCTCAGCACCCGGCGGCCCTGCCTCCCCTCCAGCCTGCGCTTACCTGCCCCTCCACGCATTCCTTCCTCCCCACCCCAAACCACACCGCGCCCCTGCTGCCCAGAGCCCTGAACCGACCGGCCGGAGGCACAGCGCTGGCTCCTAGGCCGAATTCCAGCCCTGGACAGTCAGACCACAGCCACGCATGGCCCATCCCCCACACTGGGCACCCCGGCACCCCTCACTGAGGCCCCTGGGGCCCCTCTGCCTAGAATGCCTTCTCTGCCACCTTCTCCTCCCAACAAGCCTCTGTCCCATCCTTCAAGGCACGTTCAGATGTCACCTCCTTCGGGAAGCCTGCTCAGATCCGACGACACCATGGGACCATCCAGCTTCCCAGGACCTGATCAGGCCTCACCAGGAGCTGTCACTCCTAGCTTGCTGCTCCTTGTTCCTCTCCAAGTCTCCCTCCAGCACCCCTTCCTCCAGGACCTGCCATCATTTCACCCTTTGCTGTGTTTTATGGCTGCTGTTTTCCCTGCTGGCACCGTCTGTCCCTCAGCCCTAGATCTTTGCTCAGGCTGGACCCTTCCCTGCAATGTTTTTCTCTCTTGACATGGTGGCAAATCCACTCTCACCCCTCAGGGCCCAGCCACGGTGTCAGCTGCAAAGGCTCACCCTCCCCAGCCTCCCACACATCGTCAGACTCTGGATGCCCTGGCCTCAGAAATACTCAGTTATGTATCTGCACCCCTATGTGGCCCCCTTCTGCCTTGGCTCTGATGTCCATCTTCCCAGAGGAGGGACCTGACCTCTGCTTCATCCTTGGGTCCCAGCGCCAGCAGGGAAGGGGTTGGGCAGACCGTGGTTGGGGCTCAGGGGCCAGGGGCGGAGGCCGCCCTTGTTGACCCGCTTGCTGGGTCCTCTCCGGACACCTCACCACATGGCCCAACCGAGCCAACCTAGCACCTGGGGGTGCAGAGCCTGGGAGCTGTCCCCACCCAGGCTTCCTTGGCCCCCAGCTCCCACACACCTCTGCCCACCCCCAGCCTGAGCCCAGAACACAGAGTGACTGCCGGCCCCGCTCTGTCTTGCAGTGGAGCGTGACCGTTCCCTGGGCCACCAGGAGCCCCACTGGAAGGAGTTCCGCTTCGACCTGACCCAGATCCCAGAGGGCGAGGCGGTCACAGCTGCCGAATTCCGGATTTACAAGCTGGCCAGCACCCACCTGCTCAACGGGACCCTGCACGTCAGCATGTTCGAGGTGGTCAGGGAGCAGTCCAACAGGTGCCTGCCCCACGCCCCGCCTCCCGGTCCAGCCTCCGTCGGTGTGTCTGGCCCAGCCTTGGAGGGGACATGTCCCAGAGGTCAGAAGGGGAGCTCCCTGGGGAGCACACCCTCAGAGACAGAAAGATTCTTGGCCCGAGGCCCCATGTCACTGCGGGCAGAGACCCAGAGCCAGTCCTGCTGCGAGTCCCCACCCTGCAGTCCTGGCCGCAACCTTGGGCGGGTCCCTGAGCTCCCGAGCCTCAGTCTCCACATCCCTGCGTGGGCGCAACACCACCTGTGGGGCAGAGGCAGCGCGATGAGGCGAGTGAGGCACCCGTCCCGAGGCAGGCAGGGTGGGCGCCCCACTCCCGGTCCGCAGGCGGGCGCTAGAAGCACAGAGGCAGCTGTGCCAGCCCTCGGTTAATTGTTCTTTCGTGTCCACAGGGAGTCTGACTTGTTGTTTTTGGATCTTCAGACGCTCCGAGCTGGGGACGAGGGCTGGCTGGTGTTGGACGTGACAGCAGCCAGTGACCGCTGGCTGTTGAGCCGGAACAAGGACCTGGGGCTCCGCCTCTATGTGGAAACAGACGATGGTGAGGCTCAGGGGGGCAGTGGACCTTCCCCGGGGGCTCCTCCGGCTGCTCCTCCGTGGGGGTCAACGGGTGCAGGGGCGAGGTTGCCTCAGCAGGGGGCCCCCTACCACGGTGCTCTCTCTCCTCTCCTTGTGCGGAACCCACACTTGAGCTGCTCCCCAAGAGCAGCCGTGCAGGTTGGGAGCTCCCCTACTGGGCAGGGGACGAGGGGAAGTGGTGACACCCTCAGACTTGATCAGACAGGCCTGGGTTTGAATCCCAGCCCTTGCAGCGCTCTAACTCGGTGACCTTGCAGGATACTGACCTTCCAAGCCTCACTTTCCTCATCTGTAGAATGAGGATCACACCTTCATTCATCCATAGGTATCTGGAGAAGAGCCTACTTTATGGCAGGAGGTGGGGATGGAGAGGCCAAAGGTGGGCACAAGATTGGTGTGTCTGAGCTGCAGGAAGGGGCGGCCGTGGCCAGAGCAGGGGGGCCCAGGGCCAGATGGGAGAGGAGACTGAGAGCTGGCAGGGCACATTCCTTTTTTTTTTCTTTTTAATTGTACTTACTTTTTTAATGTTTGTTTATTTTTGAGAGAGAGTGTGTGAGCTGGGGAGAGACACAGAGGGGGACAAAGGATCCAAAGGAGGCTCTGCACTGATAACAGAGAGCCCGATGTGGGGCTCAAGCTCATGAACTGAGAGATCATGACCTGAGCCAAACCTGGACGCTTAACTGACTGAACCACCCAGGCCCCCCTAAATTTTTAAGTAATGTCTGTAACCAACGTGGGGCTCGAACTCACAGCCCTGAGAGTAAGAGTCACATGCTCTTCCAACTGAGCCAGCCAGGCGCCCAGGGCACGCCGTGGGTAAACCAGGGCCTGGTGCAGGAGCATGGAGGGTGGCTCACTGTGTTTCACATCAATGGAAGATGGCAGGGTTTGATTCAGGTTTGTAGAGAAGAGCCCTCTGAGGCCCGCCCCCCCCGCCCCCCACAAGGAGGACATCACTGTAGCCCTCAGCAGGACAACACTTAGTGACTTGCTTCCCAAAAGTACAGCCGGGACGGGGTGGGGGAAGTAAGTCACAGAGGAGAAAGCTGACGGTGCTGCCTCGGCAGGTGATCCAGGTTCATGTGAATGTCATGTACACCCCGTGTCCCCTTGACATGAAGGGATGGGAAGGGCCCTTCATCTTGTGCTCTTCCCCCCAAACCCTGCCACCCCATCTAACCATGAGAAAAACTCAGAAAACCGAGACTGAAGAACATACTACAGGGTGCCTGTCAGGTACTTCTCCAAACCGGCATCATTACGAAGGAAGTCTGAGGTATTGTGAGAGCCCGGAGGAGCCTGAGCAGCTGTAACAGCTGCCTGCTGCGTGGGACCCTGGCTGGGACCCTGGCTGGGACCCTGGCTGGGACCCTGGAAGAGAAAGAGGACGTTGGGGAATCTGGTGAGATCCAAATAGATCGTGTTAATTTATCATAAGACACCAGTATTGGTTCATTAGTTGTGAGAAATGCACGGCAGTAACTTAAGTTACTATTTCCCGGGGGGACCGGCCTGAGTATCCGGAAACCCTGGGCTGTCTGCGCATTTTTTCTGTAAACCTCAACTATGATAACATGAAAACTTTATCGGTATGTAGCAACACCGCCGGCCCCTGACGTCAGCAGGGAGGGCAGTGTGCGGGGGCAAGAGTGCAGCCAGAGAGGCCCAGGAGCCACACAGCGTGGAGGTGAGAGTGGAGAGGGGCTTGTTGGTGGCAGCAGAAATGGAGAAAAGTGGGTAGCGGAGGAATCATGGAAAACGTGAGTCAGGGGCCGTTTTTAATAGACGTTTTCCTGAGTCAAAGAGGAGGAGGGGCAGGTCTGAGGTAGCAAACCCAGAGCCCCTTTTTGGTGGTGACGTCATAAGGAGCCCTGGTAGCCGTCCAGATGACACGTCATCCAGGACGGGGGGCGCATGTGTGGGGAGTGCTGCCTGAGAGCCAGGAGACTGGAGCAGGTCACCCAGGAAGGGGGTTGCAACGGAGAAGGAAGGGAACCGCCCAGAGCTGGGGGTGTCTTCAACAGGAAGAGGTCTGCCCAGAAGGGGCCATGCAGTAGACCTCCCTAGCCCCCGGGGCTTTGGGCTGGACACAGGTGGGGAGGCCTTCCCGCCAATCCTGAGGACCTATGGTTGCGTCTTCTCAGCAATGCAGCTGCCTCCGCATGGGGACACAGGGTCCAGAGCCCCTTGGAGAGAGGAGGGGTCCATGGGGACGCGGTCCGGAGCGGGGAGGGACCCATGGAGACGCAGGGTCTGTAGCTCCTCAGAGTGGGAAGGGGCCTGAGGCGCAGGGGCTACCCTGACTGAGCGTCACATCCCCGCGCACCCTCCCTGCTCTGTGACGCAGTGGTGGCAGCAGAGGCATTGGCCTGTCCCCCGCTGGTCTGGGCCAGATCAGGTGTGCACGATGGCAGCCCTCCGGACGCTCGTGCTGGTGCTTGGGCGTGGTGTCCCCGAGCTGGCAGAGGCTGAGGGCAGCGTGCGCGACTTGGCCACCAGCGCTCGCGCCTGCGCCAAATTCTACACGGATCCCATGGAGGCCGTCAAAGACATCAGGGACAGGGCCAAGATCATGATTGGCGGCTTCGGGCTCTGTGGGATTCAAGAGAACCTGATAAAGGCCCTGCTCTGGACGCATGTCAAAAACTTGACCGTGGTCAGCAGCAACGTGGGTGTGGACGACTTCGGGCTGGGCCTGTTACTGGAAACCAAGCAGATCACCCTCATCATCTGCTCCTAGGTGGAGGGTAACGCACTGTGCGAGAGCCAGTACCTGGCGGGTGAGCTGGAGCTGACCCCCCAGGGCACCCTGGCTGAGCGCATCTGCGCTGGGGGTGCCAGGGTACCTGCCATCTACAGCCCACGGCCTACGGGACCCTGGTGCAGGAGGGAGGTGCCCCCATCAGGTATGCACCTGACGGCCACATCGCCATCATGAGCCAGCCCCGAGAGGTGAGGGAGTTTCAGGGGCACCACTACCTTCTGGAGCAGGCCATCACCGCCGATTTTGCTTTGGTGAAAGGGTGGAAGGCCGACCGCGCAGGAAACGTCATCTTCAGGAAAAGCACCAGGAATTTCAATGTGCCCGTGTGCAAAGCTGCGGAAACCTCTGTGGTGGAGGTGGAAGAAATTGTGGACGTGGGGACCTTTGTCCTGGAAGACATTCACGTTCCTAACATTTATGTCAACCGTGTAATTCAGGAAGAAAAATATGAGAAAAGAATTGAGCATCTAACCCTCAGAAGGGAGGAAGATTAAAAAGCCAACTTTGCAGATGACCTCAGGGCCCGAATCATCAAACGGGCAGCTCTTGAATTTGAAGACGGCATGTATGTCAATCTGGGCATAGGCATCCCGCTTCTGGCCAGCAACTACATCAGCCCAGACATAACCATTCATCTTCACAGTGAATATGAGATCCTGGGCTTGGGTCCGTTTCCATCAAAAGATGAGGCAGATGGGCATCTCATGAATGCAGGAATGCAGCCAGTCACCATTTTCCCTGGGAGTTGTTTTTTCTCCAGCGATGACTCGTTTGCCATGATTCGAGGGGGGCACCTGCACCTCACCATGCTGGGGGCCATGCAGGTCTCCAGATACGGTGACCTGGCCAACTGGATGATACCCGGGAAGAAGGTGAAAGGCATGGGGGGGTGCCATGGATTTGGTGTCCGGTCCCAAGACCAGAGTGGTGGTCACCATGGAACATTGCACCAAGACCAACGAACCCAGAATCTTGGAGAAGTGCACCATGCCGCTGACCGGGATGCGCTGTGTGGATCGCATCATCACCGACAGGGCCGTGTTCGATGTGCACAAGAAGAAAGGTCTGATGCTCATCGAGCTCTGGGACGGGTTGACCATGGACGACGTCAGAAAGAGCACAGGCAGCCCCTTTGCTGTGTCACCGAACCTCAGACCCATGCAGCAGGTGGCAGCCTGACCCGAGGAAGGAAGCCCTGGTCATAGAAGGTGGGTTTCATTTTCACCTGCTGCGATCTCACCCGGGGAGGGTGTCATCACATC